GGTGCTGTCAGTAACTGCCTGGCAGAGGCCACAGGGTGCTCAGGGAGTCTGGTCAGAACACCCTAAACCATTCCATCTCTGCTAGCGCATTACTAGAAGATGAGAGCATTGTTTCAGTCAACATTTAGTTAAAAGCAATCTATCTTTTTCTATTTATGCAGTAGGTGGTCCAGGATTGCTCCTTTGTTTTTCACAAACCCACCTGGTTTGTTTGGGGTAGGCAAGGGGGCAAGTAGATGAGGCAGCTCAAATCCTGAGGCTCTCAAAAATCCACAGACAGATGTACAGTCAAGGGGAGACTATTTTTGTTTTGTTTTAAGTTAAAAGACGTGACCACATTTGTAATTCAGTGTGGGGTATAGAGTGGGGTCACCAGTAGGTGGATGGAGTCAATATTCCAGAAGAAAAGACTGGTGGGGCAAGGTTCCTAGAGGAAAAAAAGGGAGTGGTCCTCTGAAGCTGGAGGCTAGGAGGGAGCTTGGCCTGATGCAGACTCTTACAGGTCCCAGGTATTGGATGTTGTCATGGGCCTGACAATTATGCTCATTCTCACAGCCATTTGTGGTCCATTCAGCCTATATAGACGAAAACACTGAGGCTTCAAGGAGTCAAGCAACTTGCTCAAGGTCAGACAATTAGTGATTGGTGATCCATAGGCTCCTGGGCAGCCTCACTCCAAAGTATATGGTAACATGCATTATGAAATTTGGATTTCCAATTTTTTGTACCAAAATAAACTCATATATTTTTTTCTTTTTTTGGAGAGGTTTTCACTATAGGGCGCGTGTGATCGCCAGACAGAGAGAGACATAGAGACAGAAAGCGAGAAATCACCCCCCAGGGGGGATGGTCACGCCGCAATCCCGTCCCCTCCATTCTCCTCTTGGTATCCTGGGCATGCACGCACACGCGCCCAGCGTGAGTTTTAAGCCACCAGGTCCAGGACGAGAACCGCGGTTGACTACGTGGGAATCCAGCGACATAGCCATTACGCTAACTGCTGGTTCCCAATAAACTCATATTTTAATTCCATTTTTTTCTATGAAATTTTCAAGGTCCCTTTGTATGTGGGTCCATGATTTATAAACAAAGGGTCTAAACTCAGTAAAGATCATATGTCTTGGCTTATTTTTCTCCATGTAGCAAGAAGCAATGTCATTAACCCAGAATGAAGGGACTAGGAACTGAAGAGGACACATGAAGACTGTGGAGGGGCCGGTAGGTGGCATGGTGGTTGGGGACACTGGACTCCCACATGGCTGACCGTGGTTCAAGTCCTGGGAACTGGCAGCTTGCTTTCTCACTTTCCCGCTCTCGCTCTTGCTCTTGCTCTGTCCCTCTCTGGTCAAATTTTAAATAAATAAATAAAGTTAAATAACATAATTCTTTAAAAAAAAAGACTACGGCAAAGGTTGAGAATCAGTGAGGAGATGGGGAAGGATGCTGACCTCCATTAAGTAAAATCATCCATAGAGGGCTGGGGGGGAAACAGGACACCTATAATTGATAATCCTGTGACAGTCTGTAAGATCATGATTTGAATCTTTTTTTTTTTTTTTTTTTGAGACATTTTCACTATAGGGCGCGTGCGCTCGCCAGACAGACAGAGAGAGACATAGAGACAGAAAGCGAGAAATCATCCCCCAGGGGGGATGGTCATGCCGTAATCCCTTCTCCTCCATTCTCCTCTCTGGATCTTGGGCACGCATGCACATGCGCCCGGCCTGAGTTTTAAGCCACTGGGTCCCGGATGCAAACCACGGTTGACTACGTGGGAGTCCAACAACATAGTCATTACGCTAACTGCTGGTTCCCATGATTTGTCTCTTATGGCAGAGTCATTCAGGCTATGACCAAAGAGAAGGCAGATTGTAGAATGTATTCAGCACAGAGAGGGGAGAAACGAGGAGATTGGCGTGGGAGTGCTGGTGGAATAGGAGGGAATGTAGTGTTTCACGACTAGTCACAGCCATCAGGTTGACAAGTAGGTGTCACAGAAGGGCAGTGGTAAAGAAGGAAGGACTGGGGCCAGCAGGGGGCAGAGTGGTTATGACACTGGATCCCTCCAACACACACCCACCCCAACCCCTCATGTCATGGCCAACTGCAGTCGTAGACCAGGATCCAGCAGCTTGAAACTCACGCCGGCACATGTTTGTGTGCTCAAAATCCTGAGAGGAGAATGGGGGAGAAGAAATTGTAGCCATCTCCCTGGGGAGTGACTTCTTGCTTCCTGTCTGTCTCCCCAGTTAGTAAACAAGTCCTACAGCAAAAATATAATAATAATAATAATAATAATAATAATAATAATAGTAATAATGAGAAGGACTGTAGGCTATGCTTAGCGGTTGGCTGGATCCACTAGGAGCTTGGGCTAAAATGTGCATTCAAACAGCATTCAATAATGAAAACATTTATTATGAAGTAACTGCAAGTCGCCTGCTAAAGAGGATTTTAGGTGGACTGACAAGTTGCTATAAACCGAATTTTGTGTCCCCTGCTCCCAAATTCCTAATTTTAAAGGTTTATTTATTTATTTCTTCAATGAGTAAAAAGAGAGAGCGTCAGAGAGAAACCCAGAGACACAGCACACCCAATAGGGTCTTGATGCCACAATCCACTCCCAGCCTCAGCTAGCCGGTTCATAGACACGCGCGTGCCTGGTGTACTCAAGGAGGTGTCTGAACTTGGACTCTTCTCACAGGGGTCAGCCTTGCAGAGCACTGCGTTTCACCACTGTGCCACTGTCCAGGCCCCAAATTTGTATGTTGAAACCTAATTGCCAATGCGAGGGTATTAGCTAATGAGGTCATTAGGATGGAGCCCTCATGAAAGTGATTAGTGCCCTTATAATTGAAACCCCAAAGAGCTCCTTCACTCTCCCACCACCTGAGAATGCAGCAAGAAGGACCAAGAAGGGGGCCCTCACCAGACACTGAATCTGGCAGCACTTTGGTCTCGGAATTCCAGCCTCCAGAACTGTAAGGAATACATTTTTATTGTTTAAGCCACTCAGTCCGTGGAATTTTGTGATGGCAGACCAAGATGGAAGTGGTTCAATACTGCTACACTTCCATTTCTGGTGATTTTATCCTGTTGCTGGTAGCAAGGTGGAATACCGGTTTTAGAAGTTAAACAATGAAATAAATGGTTTCTTATGACTTCCTTTTTTAAGTTTAATTTTTAACTTATTAATTTATTTATTTTAATTTGACCAGAGAAAGACACACACACACACACACACACACACACACAGAAGAAAAGTGAGAAAGCAAGCCACCAGGTTCAGGACACAAACCGTGGTCAGCCATGTGGGAATGTCCAGCACCTTAACCACCACGCCACCTGCTGTCCAGCCCATGACTTGCTTTTAACAAGGAACTTTTTTCCTGGTAACCACTGGTCAGACTTCCTCCTGTCTCCCTGGACTGTTGAGCACACATATCTTGTGACAATTAAAAAGGAAAAAAAAAACTTTAAAAAACATGAAAATCAGGCTTTGGAGTCAAATATGGTTTTGAATTCTTAAGATCAGGCTTTGAAGTCAACTATTGCTGTGAATTCTGGGTTAGCTTGAGTGACCTGGAGCAAACTTGTTACCACGTGTCTTCACAATGAATATGGTAGCTCAGCACTGGCCCCAGGAAGTGCTCCAGATGGGCTGGGTTGAACTTATGAGTCACTGCAGCAAGAGGGAAGGGGGAATCTCACATACCTGTGTTCTGATCTCAGCTCTCTCCCTTAGTATGTGATCATGGGAGAAGCTTTGAAACCTCTGTGAATTTCAGTGTGTTCACTTATAAAACAGGGAGACTAGCACCAACTTTGGAAGATTGTCGTGAGGTTAAAGCAATAGGTGCTAAAAGGTCAATGTAAACAGTGGAGCCAGGATCTTAACAGTCTTCTGGCTCCTGCTGTGTACTCTTCAGTTTACTGACTCATTGCACAAATACACTTTGGACACCCACTGGCCCTCCACACAGACCAGGTGCTGATCTGAGTTGGGACTCGACAGTGACAAAGGCCTAGCCTTTCTAGGGCATCTCACCCTGGAAAGGTCACCCTCTTCTCAGAACAAACATCTGGCTTTTTTGCCCTTGAACTTCGTTTGTGGTAGTGCTATAAATTTAAAAAGAAGAAAATTGATTTTTCATCGATGCAAAAAGGGGAAGAGACTTTCCTTTTTCTAGTCTTAGAAGATTTATTTTAGAAGATTTACAATCGCAAATTCTTTCTCTGTGTGTTGGAGATAAATGTAAATGGTTTGAAAAGCTAAAAAATATTTTTTCAGTTGTATAACACAGAAATTTTTTTTTCTTAAGGACTTGAGAGCCATCTTTCCAGAATGTTCTTATTTAGGAATATAGCATCCCTAGCTCCCAGTTTGGTGGGAGGGTAGGAGGAAAGCACAGGCTTCAAGATGCACACCTATCTCTTGTTATAAAAATACGAAAAACTTATTTCACATTTCGATAAAGTCAATTAGCAAACACAAATGCCCACTCCAATTACCCCGTGACAAGCGATACCCTGGAGTCCTCTTCCTTGAGAACTATTCACTGTGTGTAGACGACGGGTTGCATCTTCTGCTGTTCTAGAACAAGGTGAGAGTTCTGTCTTAGCAGTCTCTTTAGCAGATTGCCGTGATACGCATCACGTTCATATTTATTACCGAAGCTTATTTCTTCTGCTGTGGCGGAGAGTTTTTTTGAGGGTGAGCAGATTTTGTTTTTCATCACAGTAGAAACCGGCATGATTAGAAAGGGCTTTGGAATAATTGGGCCAACCGAAATAAGAACTAGTCCCTCCCTCGGTCCCCTCATCCCCAACCCCTCTCCGCCCTCGTCGCGTTTGCACCTCCTTGCAGCAGCGCATCCCAGGAGCCACCCGACCCCTGCGACTGCATCCCTATTTTTAGCAGCCGCAGCCAGCCGGGTCACGTGACGGACAGCGCCCTCTAGACCACGCCCACGCCCCGCCCGCCGCGCCGGGAACCGAGCAGCTGGGATCGCGGAGCTTGCGCCCTGCGGGGGCTGGCGGCGATGAAGATCTGGAGCTCGGAGCACGTGTTCGGGTGAGGCCGGGCTGCGAGCGCGAATGGGTCTGCACAGTCGCCGACTCCTGCGGCTGTGCTCGGCTGGGGTGGCCCGGCAAAGGCCCGACAGCAGGCCGCGGAGTCTCCCTCTGAGACTGGAGCTCACTTTCAGGGGCATAACTGGCTGGAGACCCCGAGGCCGTGTGCTGCATCCCCCCGAGGCGCGGCGCAGCGCAGGGGGCTTCTGGAAGCTCTGAGGCAAGGCAGGGGTCGGCCTCTCCTCTGGCCGGGCTGGTGGAACGAGCCGCTGGGATGATTGGGGCAAGGGAGACGGGGCCGCCGTGGGGTTCAACCAGGCTTAGACGTGCACGCTCCCTACTAGCAGCAGGCCTGACCTCGCTGCTCCCTTTGGGGCAGGGGTGAGGGGCCCTAGGCAGGGGAGAGGCTGGCAAACTGACCCAGCCCTTTGTTGAGATTTAGTGCAGGTGATGGAAAACATACTGCGTTTTATGGAGGGTCCGCAGCAGGCTGTCAGCTCCGGAGGGAGCTCCATGGGAAGAAGACATTTGGGGGCTTTGGTTCCCAAAAGAAGACATTTGGTAGGCATGGAAGGCCTCCTTGCCAGCACGACATTGCAAGCTGTTCAGAAGTGCCCCCCTTACCTAAGTAGTATCTTCTTTTAAGTCGCAGATCTGTGAAACTCTGAGATCATTCTTGAACATTTTTTAATGATGTATTTTAAAGTGTACCTACATCTCCGTTAGAGAGAGAGACCCCAAGAGGGTTTTCATGCATCGATCCTTTCCCCAGCTCAGCCAGTCTGAGTCTCCAGTCCTGTCCCAGCATGTACAGGGAGACCTGGGAAGGGGAATCAAGGACTGTCCCACGTGGCCCCTGCATTGCAGAGTGTCTGGCTGACATCCATTTTTTGTATAGCCTGCACCTTTTCTAAGGTGGGGTTCCTTGAGAGACCCAGTGACAGCCTCTTGGTACTCCCAGGATGGGCTGTAACTGTCAGTGTCTGGATGCAGAGGAGCCAAGTTAAGTCCTTACCTACCCTGCATGCCCAGGGCTCTGGGCCCGGTTTTTCAGGAAACGTTGAGGACAGTCGTAAAGATTGTGAGAAGCTGAGTTGTAGTATAAGTAAGTTATCTGTTGTGAAAGGTCATTGTTAAGACTTTTGAAAATTTTTCAACTGCCAACCACCATTTATTTTCAAAAACTTAAGTACTGATATAATGTACACACCATAAAGTTTATTCTTCCTACAGAATACAGTTTTTAGTAAATTTTTAGTAAATTTACAGAAAAATTCATATTTTAGTATCAGTTTAAACCGTCTCCATAGTCCTACAGATGCTCAAGTGCATTTGCAGTCACGCCTCTTTCCTGCCGTAGCCCCAGGCAACCATGGTCTGCTTTCAGTTTCTATAGATTTGCCTTTCCTAGACATTTCATGTAAGCATCAGTCTGTGGTATTGTGTGCCTGTGTGCCTGTCCTTTTTCATTTGGCTTTTTTTTTTTTTTTGAGGTTTGTGCATGTGATAGCACGTGTCAGTATGTCTTCATTTTATGTCTCTGGCATCCTGCCCCAGTGCCCGGGACATAGTTGTTGCACAGGAAGGGGCTGAGGAATCTCACACAAAGACCATTGCCCTTCCAGAATGCGGGCAGCTACGTGTCAAAGGAATCCCACTCAGCCCTGGAGCTGCTGTATGAAGCACTGACTCTCTGTTGTGGATTTAAAAAAAAAAAAAGATTTATTATTTCTTCTTTGGGAAAGAGAGACAGATAAAGACAGGCACTGTCAGCAGGGTCTCATGTTGTGATCCTCCCCATAAGCCTTCTCATGTGCCTGGTATGTATAGGTTAACCAGGAACTGAACCCCTATCTCTATATGGCTCCAGCGTAGTGGAGCAGTGCACCGCTAGTGTACCACCATAGCGTACCTGCCCATGCCCACGCCTTGGCCTGCCCAGGATTTTTTTTCCTTTCTTTTTCTTATTTTTTTCTTTCTTTTTTATAATTATTTAATTTATTTATTCATCTGCTTATTTTAATTTGACTAGAGAGAGAGACAGACAGAGAGAGGGAGAGTGAGAAAACAAGCCCCCAGGTCCAGGACTTGAACCACAGTTGACTACATGGGAGTCCAGCAATGTAACCATTACACCATCTGCTGGTCCCTCTTTCTTTCTTTTCTGAGTTTGTATTTATCTATTTCTATGAGCAAGAAGGCAAGACAGACAGACATTGCCCTCAAGTGCAGCCAGTCCCAGAATGTGGGCACACGCACATGCCTGGCATGCTCAGGGAGGTCTCCGGACATGAACCCGGAACCTTCCTATGTAGGTCAGCCTCATAGAGTGTCACATTTTACTGCTACACCACTGTCCAGCCCCCTGCCATGGATTTTTAACTTCAAAGTAAAGGGCCTGGATGGAGCTGGACAAATGTGGAATGCAGTAGGTGGAGGATGCCTCCAAACAGGCCCCTGGGGCTGCGCAGGTGGAGGAGGCATGGCACTGTGCTGTGGGACAGCATTAGTGCACAGAACAAAACCAGCAGCCAGGCTTTCAGATTGTGCTTACTATGCTGTGTTTTTCTATCTCAGTCCATTGAGTTCCCTGAGTTGTTTTTTTTTTTCCTTTGTGGATTATAGATGTTTCTTTTCTCCTTCTGTACTGTTTTTGGATATTTGTCGTCGTACTGCCAGGTGAATGCTTGATCGGAAGTTAATCAGTTTACTTTTTAAAGGCAAGAAATAATTAGGCATTGGACCAGTAAATAGTGTAATGGTTATGTTGCTGGGCTTCCACATAACCAACCGTGGTTCAAGTCCTGGACCGGGCGGCTTAAAACTCACACCGGGTGCATGTGCGTGTGTACCCAAAATCCCAAAAGGAGAATGGAGAAGAAGGGATTGCTGCATGGCCATCCCCCCAGGGGGTGATTTCTCGTTTTCTATCTCTATCTCTCCAGTGAGTGCATGTACCCTATAGCAAAAATCTCTCTTTAAAAAAAAAAAAAAGAAAGAAAGAAAAGAAATAATTAGGCACAAACACTTTTGGTCTTATCAGGTTTTATTCCTATGTCCACATCCAGAGGAACTCCAAGACCTTGAGATCAGTCATGGCAGAGAGCCCTAAGCAATCCAATGAATATGTGCATTTCCTAGACAGTTTAAATAGTCTAAATAGTAATTTAAAATGTTAGATCAAAACAGAGAAAGGGCATCTAAAACTGAACAGAGTTTATCAATGTAAGTTTATAAATTTCACCTTCCCCCACATTCACTGAGGTTTCAGGCAGACCTATGAAAAAATCTTCCGTAACAGAGCCCGTACAAGTAGGTTTTTAGCAGGATTCTAGGCCATCCATGCCTGTGATCCCAACCCCTACCAGGCAAGGTCTTTGGTAAATGCTGTTTGTCATAGGGCGGGAGGGGCTTCTGGGAGATATGCCTACAGAGGCTGACTTTCCAGCTGGAGTAGGAATGAAAAGTGGAGTGTCATAGATCAGGACTCTGGTAGCTGCACCTGCCCTCCCTCCTCCTATTCTGTTCTCTGTCTCTCCCCAGAGGCAGCCAAGATAATGAATTTCCTAGGTATCCTGACAGTCTTTGTTCCAAAGGTCCATTTGACTACATTTGTGTATGTCTATGTATCCACATAACGTATGTGATACTGTTTGCATTTTTAAATAGAAATCAATGACATCATCTTGTGCAGATCTTTTTAAAATTATTTTTAAAAGAATTTTTATTATTATAATTTTCATTATTATTTTAAATTTTCTGTGGGCATGTGTGCTGACAGAGAGAGAAAGAGAGAGAAAAAATGAGAAAGCAAGCTGCCAGGTCCAGAACTCGAACCATGGTTGGCCATGTGGGAATCCAGCACTTTAACCACTCACTCACACCACTTGTGGGCCCCAACAGTTTTTCTTTCTTATTAATTGGGTGATCAGAAAAGTCATGACATTTTTTTTTTATGTGAAAATGCATCATGACTTTTCCAATGACACAATATGATTTTTTTGAGATCGCCCTTATTGAGATGTGTATCTATATTAATAGAGATGGCAATAGCTGTACAATATTCCATTGTGTGAGTATGCCACAATTTGTCCTTTTTCTCTCTGAAGGGACATTGAATTTTTCCTTTACTATGAATCATATTGCAGTGACTGGCCCTGGGTACATTTCTCGGTCACTTAAACAGGAGCCTGCTTAGGTCCGCAGATCTCAAGATTTTCTTTTTTTTTTTTTTTCTTTTTTAAAGAATTATTTTTATTTCACTTTATCTATTTTAATGTCACCAGAGAGGGACACAGAGAGAGAAAGCAAGCCACCAGGCCTAGACTCGAACCACGATCGGGCACGTGGGAGTCCAGTGCCCTTTACCACCATGCCACCTGCCAGCCCCCGATCTCCAGATTCAGGACCGCTTTTACACTCTTGGAAACGATTGGGGACCACAACCAGTTTTTGTTTGTGTGGATTATGTCTGTCAGTATTTGTCAGAGTAGAAATGAGGATTGAGAAATTAAATATTTATCTGGTCAGGCCAGCTCTGTGGTGCAGTGGTAACGCAGTGCTCAAGAGAAGCCATATCCCCTGCTGTGACTGCAGTTTGAATCCTTTGAAACATCCTAGGCACCCAAGACTAGCTGGAGGCCTAGGGGAAGGGATCTCAGCATTATGAGATACTGTCATGGATGGGTGCCTGTCTCTGCTGTCCCTCATGGGCACACTCTCGCTTTCTTTTTTTTGGGGGGGAGAGGTTTTTGCTATAGGGCGTGTGTCCTCACTAGACAGAGAGAGACAGAGACAGAAAGCGAGAAATCACCCCCCAGGGGGGATGGTCACGCCGCAGTCCCTTCTCCTCCATTCTCCTCTCGGGATCTTGGGCACACACGCACACACGCCCGGCGTGAGTTTAAGCCACTGGGTCTGGGACTCGAACCACGGTCGAGTACGTGGGAGTCCAGCGACATAGCCATTACACTAACTGCTGGTCCCTGCCCTCTCTCTTTC